ATGATTTAGTTGAAAAATTATAGTTGAAATAGCAATACGTATTATAGTTGAATTACAAAAACTATTCACAAAATAATAGCCATTTCTACTAAAATAAATAGTTAAATCTGTTATCATACTTAGTAGGGCCAACTAAAATATTTGTTTGTTTTGACTATAATATATTTAAATTACAGGAATATCTACTATTTTTTTTTTATATACCAACTAAAATTATAGTTACTTTTCTAGGAAATTAATATTTATTACAGCTATAATATATAGTAATACTAACTATTTTTCATTTGCAGCCTACCTCTCCCTTCCACCCTACCACCAAAATGTATTTTTGATATAATCTATAAAAGCACGTGTCATCTTATATAGGTATATTGGTATATATTTATTGTAAGAATGTACCTCCCCCTAAACTATTATATGGTTGTGTAAATTATATGAATTAAATAAATATAAGTGTATAATCAATAAAAACTTTTTATTTGAAATTATTTCCATAAAACATTGGCTTGCTTTATTACCATTAAACAAATAATAATAGGTAAATAAAAACATATTTTATATAGATTTTTTATAGATATTAATATTATATATAAAGTTATATATATAATATAAACAAAAGTAAAACATAGGCTTGCTTTATTGCCGTTACACAAATAATAATAGGTAAATAAAAACATATTTGATATAGATAATACAATAGATAGAGGTACATATTATTATGATATAAACAAAAGTATAACATGCTCTATTGCCATTACACAATTAATTAAAAAAAAAACATATGCATACTATAGATAAATAGATAGTTATATATTATATAAACAAGAGTAAAAAAATTGGCTCACTTTATGCTAAACAAAATATATACAATTTAGATCTATACATATATAATAGATATATAAATATGTAGGTATAATATATAGGAAATTATTTATAAGGGGATAAAAATTAAATCTGAGCCTGATACATGGACTTCGTGCGACCTCTGATGAAATTGTTCTAAACAAATACAAATGTATTTAGGTATAGGGGTAACATTAAACGCCTGATAATGCTCATCAAAATAATTTGTTTCAAATAGTTGACATATTGCAAATGGTAGGTTAACATTTGTAATAAAAATATGTTTTATTAATCCAAATGATGGTAACATATCTTCAATTTCACAAGCATTTATCACTATACACATATTTTTACAATTAAATACAATATTTTTTATTTTGACCCAAGACACAAATATTATATTATCATTAGAGAAATCAAAATTATTAGTTATTAAATTAATATTACAATTATTATAAAACTGCAATGTTAACTCATTCAACTTTAAAACCCGTCCAACTTCCATATTTATTGTGTAAAAGTTATCATTTGAAGACAAAAAATTGTGAGACAGTTTTAATTGATGTTTAAGAGATAATGTATATTGTATATTTTTCCGGGAAGTAATTGCATGAGCAGTGTCTTTGAGCTCCTTATGCTTGGCTTCAAAGCGCATTGACCAGAAAAGGGCCAGTGGCCCAGATTTTTGAATTATAAATGGATAATGAACCATATGATGATGTTTGGGTTTGAGATTAGAGCGAAATAATCTTAAATATAATTGGTGATGTTCTGAAATTAGTGTTTTAAGAAGTACTGAGTCAGATAATCTTACAGATTTACATAAAATAATATCTAGAATTTTTTTTAGTATTTTGTATAATTCCCATAAATCTGAGTCTTCTGGAATAAGATCCCCAATAATTAACCCTAAATATTGTGTAAAACATAGCATTTCCGATGCTGACATTCTGATTAATCCCTGACGACGAAGGTTTTCGGAAGATAATAATGTAGGTCTATTACGGATATCTAAAGAGCCGTAATTAAATGCTTCGATTCGATTGTTTAAAGTTTCAATAGAAAAGTAATTGAAATCAAAAATCATTAGTTTTAGAATCAAACCAATATCAAATTTACAAACCCCTTCCAACATATCGTGCATTATGTCTACACTGAAATTATCTGTTACTGTGAACTAAATTAAATCATTCCATACGCAACGCTCTTTGATTCCAGTGTAAGACAAGTCATTGAGAAGAAGATCAGAAGCATAATTAATTTTATTTCTCATCATGTCATTGAGTTGTTGTGTTTGTACATGACAAACTTGTTTTGGACATCTGCAAAATCTACATGGATATTTAGCTACAAAACTTTCCGAAAATCCTAATATGGAGTGAAGACCTAGATTATCTCCAAGAATTAATCCAACAGAAAAATAAATATGATGTACTTTATCATTTATTTTTATATCTATTCCACTAGTTTCTAAAAAGTTAAGTTCTGCTATAAGGTCTTTAAATACTAATATATTTCCATATTCTTTTTTATCGTCAGTTTTAAATAAAGAAGCTAAAAAAATATTGTCTATAGAAGAAGCCAATTCAGGCGGTAAACAAGCTAATGATATATATACAGCACCTAGCTTTTGAGAACCTGAATGGGAACCCAATGGATCATTTACCTCAAAGTCATCAAAATAGACAAAAAGAGGAAATATCTGTTTACCATCATGCAATTTTAACTTTTCTTTCCATAATTCAGATTGAATGAAGCTATACATTATAGGACCTTTATATGATTGCAACGAATCATCATAATTAAGTAACATATTAAAAAAATTGGAATGTTCAAACAGTTTTTTAAATACTTGTCTTAGGGGAATTAAAGTTATTTTTACTTCTTTAGGTTCTAGTACAACAACACCATTATGAAGTCGATCATTTAGTGTATTTGCTATTACAATTTGATTTGGTTTAATCAATAATCCAACTTCATCTAAATGTTTAAACCGCAAATACTCTGTTTGAATATTACAAAAAGGGTCAGAGATATTTGATAGTGCATTTGAAATTGAAGATAGGTCAGAAATAACATCAGTTATATTAGTTTTTGAAATACAAACATTTATTTTTAACTGTAGTATAGATATAAATGAGCTATTAAATTGTTTGATATCATCAAGAAGGGTATCAACTTTGTTCCTAGGAATCGAACTACAGCTATACCACTTTGAAGCCAATTGAATAGCATTTCTTGTTAATAATTTTTTCAGAAAATCATCAGTTACTATTATATCATTAGTTTCATTGCTATTAACTGTACCAGATGTACATGTACCTTCTGTAAAATGACTTTCTAGTGGATTTAAAAGTGAGCTATTGGGATCTATTAAATTTGTTGCAGTTAAAAGTGAATTTGTTTCTAAGGAAAATGAATGGCTATTTATATGTTTTTTAAAAGAGTTTAAACTACCAAAGGTTCTAAAACAATCAGGTTCTTTACATACAAACTCTTTTATAGTTTTCACATCATGAAAAATATTTAAATGCACAAATAAATGAACGGGAATTTGAAAATGTTCATTACATACAAAACAAAAGGGTATTTCAATTTTTTTTTGATATGTTGTAGAATGAGAAACTTAATACTTACAATAACTAATTATTGATATCTTTAAGTAAACTTTTAACGGACACAAATTGTTGATCGGATTTGCTAGCAGCTTGAATTCCATAAAAATATATTTGGAAGAAGGTCCACACTTGCTTAGCTTCCACCGGGTACTCCAAATTCAATGTGTGAAAACTCTTAAAGCACACATCAAATGCTTTTATCACCGTTTCGAGCTTAAAATATGTATCTTCAATAACTGCGTAGTATGCAATTTCTGGCGTAGTAGAAGAACCAACAATTACCACATATGGTTGCACAGTTAATCCGAGTGAAAAGGCTCTTTCAATTTTTGCAGAATTTAGCGATTTTAGTTCATTGACGTTCTAAGCAATAATGAAAATTTAATTAATATTTAATAAACTTAATTAATAATTATACTAACAATTATGTTAACAATAAATGCAGCTTCCTGTTCTAACTTTGAAGGTTTGTGGGTTGTACGTGTTGATGATGAACCATTTATTTTTGTAATTACAGTGGACACAGGTTGAAATAAACGTGGCAGTATACTAAATGCAGCTAAATCATCATCACCTAATCAAATAAGATCAAAATAAATTATAAATTAAACATTGACAATTATTGTTAATACTATTATTATTAATAACTAGCCTAGTTTAACTGGTGTGAAAAGTTGTTGTAATAATGATTCCTCTTGAGAGCCCAAATAAGGTTTTTTAATTTTCAACATTTTTTTTAAATGTTCTTTAAAACATTCAAATTTATTGAGCAATCCCATTTCCTTTGTAGGAAACAACTGAATAAAATCAATTTCAATCTAAAATAGATAAGAAACTAAGATAGGTAATATAATTAATTTACCTAAATTATTTTAAAATTTTAACACTTGCCAGTAAATAACCAGTGGGTTTAGTCAGACCTGGAAAAAGTTTAATGTTATTTAAGGACTGGTTTAACCTAAAATTTGATGTTTCTTTCCAAAGTTTAACTAAAGTAGTTTCTGGTTGAATATTATTTTTTAACCAATTTATAGAATCTTCAAAATCTATGACATAAATTACATAAAATATTAATATTGTATTAATACTTATGTTTAAAATATATAGCTACCATGTTCGACAAAATTAGTATTGTTTTCTACTATCTCAGAATGGTTTCTTTTTTTATTTGGAGTAATTCTTTTTATTTCTTTTTTTAAATGACAATATTTGTCATACAGTTTGCCTCTATTTGGAGTAATTTTGTCCCCTACTTTCAAATAAGGAATAAAATAAGTTTCCCAACTTTCAGTTGGGAACAACTCTTCAATGCCTTATTAAAAAAAAAATTTAAAAAAAAAATTAATAGTTCTTAAAAAATTAGATAATAGATAGATTGTTGAATAAAAATAAAAACATTAACATTAACACTAGGTACCATCAAGGTAGCAAAAGGTTTTTTTTTTAAAATGTTTTAAACTCCTTTTTTGTTAAAAAATGTTTTATATGGACTGTTTCACCACAACTTTTTTCAATGATACTTTTTTACTTCAAGGCAGTTTATAACAACAAAATTAAAAAATGATATATAATATTATATAGAATAATATGAAAGACATCTAATATAATACCATATAGTACCTTTCAAAGTAATTTGCAATTTCAAATATATAATACCTTTTGCTAATTCCGTAAATTGAACCTTGTCAAGTTTTATTGACTTTTGTATACGGTCTTTAATTATTACCGATGATAATTTATTTCTCATTGATTGATTTAAATAACCACAAGAACCATAGAAACTTAAAACACACTTCCCATCATGATATTGTTCCAAACAATGTTTAATGTTTGTGGTCGATGTTGATACTAATAATTAATACATTTATAAGAAATAAGGATACATAATATCATAATATATCATAAACTAATAAATACTGTTGTATTCTAGTTAAAAATTTTGGCTTTGAATTCCAATAATATATAATGTAGGTACCTAATCATAACTCAAATATAAATAAATAAAAATAAATAATATGTTAAGACCAAAATATTAATGTATATTAGTGTAACGAGAGTTGTTAAAGCTTTTAGTCATATTATGGTAAAATTAAAATTTGGTATTAAGTTAATAGGTAAAAATAACTATTACATAATATAATTCCATTTAATAATTTAAAATTGTATTTTTTTTTATACATTTTAAAAATATAAATGAAGTTCAAATCTGGGATAAAACTATTAATGTAATTCAATTTATATACTTAACTATAATTTAGTAATTTAGATTTTTTAACATAATACATTTTAGAACTATTATGCAAATGGTAGATTTATTATTTGTATTTATGAGTAAATTAAAATATTATGAATAGGTAGGTACCTAATTTTAAGTCATTTTTGTAATAATTTTATATCGGTAGCTAAATAGTACTATATGTTAATCCTAGGCTAATAATTTGTGAATTCTAAGTTATAATAATTTGTAATTTAGATATCAGATAGTTATTTAAATATCAAATTGTATGAAATAAATTTTACCTGAAGAATATTCATTATGTTTTTTAGTAATACTCGTGTTTGAAGACACTAATGCACTATCATTTAATGAAATTTCCTCCTCAACAACATTGCCGTCAAATGGTAATAATATATTATCTGTATCTGTTACTTCAAATTCCAAATTATCCCAATCAATCGCAGGGTGTTTTGGTTGTAATTCAATTTTTTGAACAGACAAATTCTACAATATTAGAAGGGTTGTATGAGAAAATACAAGATACATTCATTATTTCCTAAAAATAAATTTATCAGATAAACCAAAAACAATTTTTTCACAATTCCCCCCTCTTTTCTGAATATATAAAATAAAAAACCCCTTTAGGAGTTCATACTTTTAGATCTTTTAATTCTCCAAGTTTTTTCAAAAATACTGAGCGTTGACCAATCTTGGGAAACAATTGTGTGATCATAGTTTCAGTTAAACTTAACAATGCCATTTCATTTATTTCTTCATCTAAATAAAATATACAATTTATTATTTGAATAGGTACTATATTTTAATAATGTTACTTTCTAAGCCTGATTTAAATTAAGCTTTTAATTATGGTAGGTACCTTTAAAAACTTCAATGATTTCTGTCGAGAATCCCCATTCTTTTAATTTTGACTCTGTATATAAATCCATAATATAACACTAAAAATAGATACATTTTATAAAGCAAACATTCAAAATATCATTGAAGAGAATACTTTTAAGTTTTATTAGTGGGTAAATTATAATTTTTTTTTTTATTTTAGTACATTTGTAGGTACATAAAAAAGAATATTATTTATAAACAATTAATAAAATCATGACTGACTTTCAATAGTGTAACTAATACATTAAGTACCTACGTTATTATATTATTTTTTTTTAAATACCTAGGTATTTTATTGAGAAAGTATTTAAAGATTTATTTACATTTATTGTAAGTTTAAAAAAGTGTAATGTTAAATTGTGATAAATTGATAAACTTTATTTTTGTAATTAACTGATGTGTACTAACATTGATTCATAACATCTACTAAAATTAAAATATGATATTTCTCAATTATTTTAATTATAAATCATTCCTTGATTTCCAAAAGCACACCTGAGTACTTACCAATACTAAATAGGTTACTTTGGCACTTGCTAAGTACACTACCTACCTACAACAAAAATGCTATTCACGTTGTAAGTTAATTATTATTTAAATATTAATACAATTCCAATAGGTACCTAATGATTTTTTAGTTAACAATTTTTAGAAACTATTTAAGTACTGCTCGTTCTAAATAACTATACAGATAATATAATTAGTTTTACAGCATCCAATCGATGGGATAATTGATAGGATATCTAATCAACCGTTGGTATAATTTGACTTAATATTTATTAAAAAATCATTCTCAACTTTTAAACATGTAATATGTTAAGGATATTTAAATAATATTTACATATTATGTTTTCCTAATATTTGAAACTAAAACACTAACTTATCAACCCTAATGAGTAGGTAGGTAATGCTATTTAGACTGTAGTTATAATATAGCCATATAGGTAGCATAATCTAAATAGGTACAATAAATGTTGCGTAGGTAACATACCGAGTACTTAACGAGTAGATACCAGTTACTAGGTACTGAAGAGATAGATTTTGGTNCACACACACACACACACACACACACACACACACACACACACACACACACACACACACACACTTGATGTACATACCCGAGTCGTAACCATCTGCAGACACGTCGTATGTATAATGTTACATAATAAATGCCATCAAGTCCTTGAGCGCCATCCCCGGGGTGTACAGCGCAGTTATATCATTCGAACAGGTACCGTGTACATGGTATACGTATATAAATACCAGATATATATTATTATGCATGTGTATGTAGGTATAAGATGATTGCCTTTTATGCGCTGTGCACACACGACTATTATATTAAAACATGCGTTATAATATTATTACAGCATAGGAAGCAAAGCGTGCAGCCCAAAGGAGGACGAGTGAATGAAAAAAAATTGAACTTTACTTATAACTTTGAGTCAGCTAACTATAAATTAATGCGAACGTTTCATCTCACGTTCAGTACGTTAAGTTTTAAAAGATAGTAATTCAATAGCCAAATACATTTAACTATACAACTTTGAAGATATAAGACGGAGAAATACATTAACTCAACTCAGTTAAAAACAAGTTTGTTAAATATTTTCAAGTAATGCCTATTTCAAACGTAGTGATAGAACTTTAGTTTTTTTAAGTACCTAATAAGTTTAATTTGTTTCAGGTATTTTACTTAATTACATTTTCTATGTACCTAACTTACCTAACTATACGTATAAAAAAAAGTAATTTACAGCCATTACTGATCTCAGTTTTTATTTAGATTTAATTTAATTTGTCGACTTTGATTCGTGAAAAATATTTACTGAAGGGCTTGATTTTCGATAAACTATCAAAATATGCACTACACATTTTGAGTATTTGATCATACGCGTTGTGAAATGTAATGTGCAATTAGCACTTACTGAAGGTACGATAAAGTTAACCAGAAAATAAATGCAAATGCATGAAAGTATCCTTGGTATCTTCTAATAACCAAACCTTTTGTTAAAAAAGCATCCTATTTATTGCCTTTATTGCATAGTGGCTCTATTTTTTATTAGGCTAAAGCGATCACATGTTTTACTTGCAATTATTATTGTGTCAATTAAATGATTAAACAAAGAATATTTATATGCTTCTTTGCATTTAAAATCAATGTACAGACACGGTATGATTAAACAAAAAAGTTACCTAGGACGTTACCTACGTCAAGACGCGTATTATTTTTCAAATTAACTGGAAATATACAAAGGATATTCTTTCATTCGCTGTAAGTCATACAATGTATTCACTTCTTAACTTTTTAACTAGTTAATGCTTGCCTTTGATATGCGCCATTTATAATAATATGTATACATTAGTATTTTGTGTGTATTGAAATCGATCTGTTTAGTGTTATTATTAAAATATTATGTATCATCGACGGACACTTTTATTTATTTAATTATTTACATCAAATGTCTATAGCACGCATGCATTTTAAACTGAATATAAGTGCATGTTAGTTACAATAAAATATTACATTTAAGTAAGAAAGTGGATTATATAATTTTAGTTTAGTAATCAGTACTCTGTCCTATACCGAATGCTTCTTTGGGCAATGGTCTGATGATATTCGATTCTGCGTGGATCACATTCAAAAAATATGTGTTTAACAGAGATTTTTCAGATGCCATGTATGTGAAATCGTTTTAAAGTGCATTTAAGTTTAAGCTAACAAATTATTTCAGAACTTACATTATTGATTATTATTATATCGGCATTAACTGTTCAAAGTCAATATTTGGATTTTGATGACTTACCAAACAACCGAAAGCCCAAATTTAGACTAAATGGAAATACCTAAAAATGTTTTGATTTCAAAACAGTTGTTGATGTGTAAATTTGTATTCATTGACGACTTACTCTATATCGTCTAGTTAATATTATCAGCTGCATAAAAAAATCTGTATGAAAACGTAATTTAAAATTTTTCGTTTGAAAAAACAACAAAAAAACAGATAGCAGACTAATCACTCTGATAGCTTGTCAAAATCTCAAATAACAATTATTCACTCGGGTGACTGGAGAAATTATATTATTGTTATTCACACAGTGTTTAAATTGTTGCCCAATTGTTCAAGACGTTCAATTCTGTTGTTAGCCGAAAATAAACATAATATACACATTTTCGATGCACCTTTTTTGATAATAATGATATACCTAGGTACACGCGCTGCTTATAAGTGTGCACAATATGTGAATATTAAATTATTAATAATAAATAATAATGTTTGCCTGTCAAAAGCAATGACTAATCGCACAATGTATTTTTTTTTCATTTCGTCTGCTGAGTATTTGTTTACGTCTTCAACATCATCGTGATCATTCGAAATAATAAAGCGATGCGAATTGCTGACAAAACCGATACGGCCGAATGCGCATTAATAATAATGTTTTTATCGTAACGAACAAAAGACAGTGGTGAATAATAAACCACATAGTCCAAACACTGAAGTCGAAATGTTATTGTTATTTTGAATAAGATTTGGTCATCGGAGTTCGATAAGAAATCGCGTAGGTATTTAAAATAAATGATTTTTTTGACAGTCCAATGTTATTTAAACCAACACTACAAGTAAAGTGGTAATGATTTTTACACAAATTGTTTCTGCCAAAAAAATAACGTTCGAGAGGGTGTAAGTCATAACAAACCCTTTTGAGTTTTGGACGATGAACAAATACTTCCATTGTTCTGTGCAATGTGATAATATATTATTCCCGTATTTGGAGGGAAGTACCTCAGTTTCTCCGTAAACGAATTCGTCTCGGTTAAGAAAACGTCGTACGCTCAATGTGTTTTCTCCGTCTTACGCAGGTGCGACATAGCACATTTTTGTTCACCAGTTTCGATTATGTTAGCAGGGCACTAGTTTTGTTATTAGAGCGAATTGACCTATCATCAAACTTTTAAGTACGAATATTATATGTGTTCTCTCGTTGGCTTTTACGATATTTTAATCTTTAAGTGAGTTATGAGTATGTGAAGTATTAATATTTGAAAATTATCATGATTAACTTAAAAATTAAAATGTCGTAAGAAACCGACTAGGGAACACAGATAATATGGTGTTGGGAGAATACATGAGTTTTTACTATTCTCTGACCACGTTATATTTATTCATTCATTGCTTCATCCTATACTTGGTATGACAATAATGAGCCAAAAGAGGATTGTTTGACACCCTCATCACACGTCCTTGAGCACGTCCAAGGGGCACGATAAGCCAATAGATTAACCAATTCAAGATCATTAATCAACACATTGTTGCATTTTATTTTAAAGTCTTACTGACAAAGTGCCTACTGCAATAATCGTCAAAGCTTAATTATGAGGTATTTTTATAGCGGAAACGGGTATATTGTATTAATATATAGTTATTATTATGTAAATACGATTGCACTCCATAAAGTGGTTACCAACACTTGCACGGGCTTGAAAAAACAAACGTACTTTATCACGTCATTGTACGCATGCAAATATATCAAGTGGTATTTGAAACCCAATGACAGGAAATTATATTTTCCGAGCGGCGGTCCAAGTTCACGAGTTGATATATACGCATACGGCACGCCATATGATATAACTCCTGCATTTTTGCTAAGTCGCTTATTATATTATGATAATATTATTGGTTATGCTTTCGAATTCCAAACGAACATAATATTATTATTGTAACCCGTAATAACATATACCGCACTGCAGTGACCGGATGCGCCGCACATCTCATTTGGACGTTTTATGTATGGGATTGAGGTGGTACGATATTAATTATTTTATTTAAGTGGAAGCATAACAAATGTACTGGATTGTGCGTGGTTCCAGTGTAATTTGATATAGGTCTGATGTCACGATGTTATGTACCGGTTTGGAATTTCAGCGGCAGATATAATTCCAGAGAAATTCCGTATAGATTATCAATAATATTATTTTTGTCTTGCCTACAAAAAAAATATTATTATTATCGTATAGTGTTCACTATAAAAGACCAATAATAATATCACACATTCGACCGAAAAAGCACGATTTAATAATGTTAGAAACATACATGGTGTTAACGTATTTTTTGTTGATAA